GCTGGCCATGCAGTAGCCTAATCCATTGGTCCAATTCTTAAGTAAATTATTGTGTGCAGCTGTATTTCACCAATTGCTTCACGATTATTGTTCTATAAGGCGTCAATTGCTTTTGGCTTGTCGGAGTAACACTTATTTTTGACGGCACCCCATAAATAATAGTCCAACAGTATAAAATCGTAGCGGCTGATAATTCGATCTTCAAAAACAGGGCAAAACATCGAGTGTATTTTCGACTGTGTGGCACGTAGAGCCGTCCTGTTGAAACCAAGATTTGCCAATATTTTTATCTTTAAGTATGGAAACAAACATTTCTTCAGCATAACCCGATAACGATAGCGCCACACCTTGCTCATTTTCGAAAAAAAAAAATACCAAATTATTCCCCTGGATCAATATCGGCACCAAACAGAGCCTTGTTTTGGGTGCTTTGGCTTTTCGCTATATGCGTTCTATATTATATTAACATAATGTGAAATCCATGCCGAAGTTCCTTCGATTTTGAGACAACTCCTCTCCTCCTCCTCTCCTCACCAATAAATCTGTTACCCCAGCTGAATTTCGCAAAACATATATGATGATTTTGAAAACTATAAGCTTTTATTATTAAATTGATAATTATTACACTATGAGATAATCAAAACCGCCTTCAAACCCAGTTTGTGATAGTTTTTAGAACAGAAGATTCCTACCTTTTGATAAACTATTGATTTTTTTAAAATATTCCTTTTATAGCAGTAAATTGTTATTTTTCTGCCTTATCAATAAAGATACGGTTCCAATGAACCGAATCAAAAATAAATATGTACAGATTTATTTTATAAAATTGGTCTAATTACACACCCACATATATTTTTTTCTAAATTTAAAGAATCTGCCTATAAATTGACCTGCAGTTGCAAAGGACCTGTCCACGGCAAATATACCACAAAAATTCCTTTTTATCCTTTGTTGTTTAGCAAAACAGTTTTCTAAGTTGAAGAGAACTAAACATGCTGGCATTGAATGCCTCTGCGAGCATTGTTCATCACTGGATTTACTGACTAATGAAGCGTGCAATCAGTAGAATTCTCCAGCCCCCCCTCAACATGAAAAGATTCAAAAATAGCATTAGACACAATAACACATCGACCGACCTACATCCGCACAATCACACGTACACATGCAAGAACCGCCATATTTACAGGGAAATTTCCATCTATCCATCCAACCATCCATATACTCCCACGGCAGTATACATAAATATTTGTTCATACCATGCCATAGACCCCCATAAAAAACGTTACAAATTGTTAATAAAGACATTCAAATTTCGAAAATCGATAATTTATCCACAACACAACACCCACATGAAAGTCAGTCAACACCATCAACTCCCAAAGAAATGCTCGCACACAGGCACACACAACCGCCAGGATATGTGTGTATTTTATGGGTCGCCACTGGCCGTTCGCTCGTCTATATGCACGAAGAATTTGCTTAGTTATCCTTTGTTTGTGTTTCTACCAATATTCTTTGCAAAGTCTTTTATCTTTGTGAGCTGCCCGCCTGCTTTGCTTCCGGCATGGTTATTCGGTCTATTTAAAGTTTCTATTAAATTGACATTCCGCTTAAATTTAAAACAAACTTGCCTTTATTTATTCGTTATGTTTTATGGCTGTCGTTAGACGCAAATGTCCTAAATGTTATGGCATTATTGCCAAGTCATTGAACATCCAATTGCCATGTTCGCCAGTTCGGTGTCGATCTCTCTCATTTGACTGCCATTAAATTTGAAATTCAATTTCTTTTCGAAGAACAAAAGGTCAGTGGAGTCGAGCGTTTTCGAATGTATTGATGTCTGTTTGTAACTGAAACCCGAAGAGAAATTTGCAAATAATTTGCTTGATCAGAGCAATCTAATTTTATTGTGTCATTTGGAAAAGATTAGCGTCAATATTTCAAATATCGAATGTTTAGGAAAATGAGAATTTTGAACTTAATCACATAATCGATTTGTGTTGGGTAACTTTCTAAAGCAGATAATTAATAAAACTTTTAGGAATAAAATTGAATGTCAAACATTGAAAATGTGTCATTTGACGTTAACAGCCAAAATTCGCCAATAACCTTGGAAACAAAAATAATAAATATACACATCCACACATAAATATATAATTTATTCAATGGAATTTGCCGTTGATAATAAAAATGACAAACATTGTATAAAAATTTGGAACATAAACTTTTAGTGGCATTCAAATTATTTTTGAATTTAACGGAATATGGCGTTGTTGTTGCAAAAATATACACATTAACATAATGAACGTTTTGAGCTGTGATTACATACTTTTAAAATTGGTCAGAAATGTCATTTGTCATTCCTCCACCATAATTTGAAGGGTATATTAACTAAAATACACTACAATGTTGATATACTCTTGAACAGCATAAAATTCGATGTCGATTTAGCCATTTTCGGCCGTCCGTGGAAGTCACTCTTGCATCCAAACGAAGTCAAGGTATTTTTTAACGTTAAACCATATTTTATAACCGAATTCGAGCAGAAATCTATCTCTGTTCTGGTATTGATCCCATGTAACAGAATCTCCATATATTCGGTATTTCAATGATTTTAGTCACATATCTTAAGGGAATTGTTTCAAATTCGATGTTTGGAGTCGCCTTGTTAGGGAGAAAATGTAATGATATAAAGGGTGTCGCAACTAGAACGCACTCGTGAAATCGTTATCTTGACATAATAACCAGTTTTTTTCTTACATAGAATTGAAGAAATGAATGTGGAGGGCATGTGGTTTCAACAAGACGGCTCCACATGTCATACAGCCAGTGAAACAATTCAATTGCTGCATTAGTCACTTCTCAGTCGTGTTTTTTCGGGTTTTGGAGACTAGCTCGTGCGATTTAACACCTTTAGTTTTTCTTATTTGGTTTTTTTTTTAAGCCGATGGTTTGCGAATAAGCCGATGACGACTCAAGCCTTTAAATATGAAATTTGACGCTGCATTAATAAAATACCGCAGCATTTATGCGAAACCATTGGGGAAAATTTGTCTGTCTTCTTTATTATGATTCACTATGTTTTTATAAATATCTGTGTTTTATTTAAAACCAGCTGGCCCGGCCCGTGTTTCTGCCAGCCCTTAGTTTTATTGTAAGTATTTCCCATTTATAGGTCGCGAACCATCTACTGCACGAAAAATTAGTGAATTTTTGTCAAATTAATATATTTGAATGAACTGGTAAAACAATCCGACATTTTAGCAATTCATGAGGCGTTCTAAACAAAATAATTTTGAGGGAGATTTTGCAAAGAACAGTAAATATAATTGTATTGAAGCCCTAATCTTAGATAGCTAAGAGTAGCCACTGTCTATTTATCTACTTTGGAAAAAGGAGGAAAAACGTCAAGAAATCGTTAGGGGAGAGCTAACCAATTTCAGGAGCAAATATAAAGTAATATGTCGATCAAAACAAATGAGAAATATTTTTAATCGCAAACAAAAATCGAAATATGGCTCTGGGTTGCTGGGAAATATCCTAGCCTCTATGATGAAGCTGTTGAAGTCTTCCTTTTTTAACAACCTCTTCGGTTGGTAAAGTCACTGCGACTCAAAGCTACCAATAATGAAACTGATGCTAAGCCTATAATGACAAAAAGTAGAAAACAAATACATCCTTCCCATTGAAGTAAATGTTTTGTGGGCTATTTTAGTATGCAGAGTATGTTAAGTTCGTCATTCCATTTGTAATTCTAAGTCGATTTAGCTATGTTCGCAAATTAACATAGGAAGCAAAAAAAGATGGGCTATATCGCTTCACTATATCATATAGCCTAGATATTCGGTATTTTTGATTTTGATGATTCAATGCAATGAAAATCCACACAAATAGTTCTTTTTGAGTAGTTTGCCCCCTGGATGAGAATTGCCTACATAGGTCAACGATATCATATATCGCCCATATAACGGTACCTCCTGATATTCGGTATTTTGATGATTTTAGCTCAATTTTTTAATGAAATTGTCTCAAAATCCACACAAGGAGTTCCTTCTAAGTACTCTACTTCCCCTGAAAGAGAATTGTCTGTATGGGTCCACGATATAGTGTATCCCCTATAAAACGGTACCTCCGGATATTCGGTATTTTCATCATTTTAGCCAATTTTTTCAATAGGAGTTCCTTCTGAATACTTTAGCGCCTACATAAGAATTGTCTACATAGGTCCACGATATCGTATAGCCCTCATATAACGGTACCCTTATTCGGTTTTTGATGATTTTAGCGACATTTTTGACTGGAATTGTTACAAATTTCGTATTTAAAGTTTGAAGCTCGTAAAAAGTCTTCGTATAGACCCCATTTAACGGTGTTCATTTAAGTGGTATGTTCCAGGTTTTTTTTTAAATTTTTAAGATCCTTCCAATTGGTAGAGGGTATATAAAATGATTAAACTTTTGTTAGATTGGTTGGAATCTAGCAAACTTTGGGAAATAATGGTCTGAACCGTATAAGCTGAAAGCTAATGCTTTCAAATAAATAATAACGTGCTAAAATCTATCGAATTGATGTAGTCTTTTTATCCTCTAAGAGGCTCACTATGCATAATACATTCAAATTAGTATTAGTTGGGATTCCCTTTACTTCAAATTGATATACAATCTTCTGTGTTAGTGGTAGTTTGACGATTTTTCCGACATAATATCATCTCAATACCATTAGATTTGTGTAAATGCTTATTTGGCTGCAATAAAGAGTTCACTCCATTTAAAAAATTGTCTGTAGTTGAGTTTTATTAAGAATTTTCACTCTGTATTTATAAGGATTTTAATTAGAATTTCAAAACAGTTACTTAAATTTCACAATTAAGGTCACAAGTGTCACAATTTCCAAACTCTATTGGACCACTTTGCATAGTCTCCAAACACATTCCACATCTTTACATGTGCACTTTTATTTTGCATGGAATAAATCAGAAACAAGCGGATGTTTACACTTACCTTCAAAAGGTTCCCTTGTGGTCGATAATGGATTGCACAAATTATCTACAAAAGTAAAGACACAAAAAGGGTTGCTCATTAATTAATTTCTATGGAATCAATTTGCAAAAAGAATTTAAAATTTAATTAAAAACAAATCATTTGCAATTTATATCAGAGGACGGAAACGTTAAAAAAAAACTATGCCGTGCCGTTGCTGTAGCCTTCGTCGTCGCATCAAATTGTTCTGTCATTTGTTGCCATTGTATGGCATTATTTCAATTTGCCCATCATTAACAATAATTGTGTACATCAATGGTTGTGTATGCAAATTTGTGTGAGCGTGTGTATGTGTGTGTGTGCGTATGTATCTCAACAGTCATTACATTGCAGAGGTATTTTCCGATGTATTTCATCAGATAACTGTTGTTTATTTTATTTTAATATCCCCGCAAACTGGTCTTATCACATGCATGTTTAAGCAAACTCTCAGCGTTTCGGCGCGGCTACATATTCACTTCAGCCTTCCGTAACAGTTCAGATCACGCCAAATTACAGCATCACATCAGATCTCATCAGAGCCAGATGTCATTATCTACTCGCATTCGACTGTCACCATGAAATTACCGCCACTGATGTGGATGAGCGTGTATGTGTGTGTGTGTGTGAGAGAGTGTGCGAATGAGATTGTAAATTGCGTACACAGATATGAATGTAAAACGCTTAATATACATTTGCATTTGTATGCATGTACGAGTATATGGCAAGTGAACACTTGCAAAATGGTTTTGCTAACACATGAATATAATCCATTAGCACTAGGGTTGGTGCAGGATTTCAAATGTTTTTAAACAATTTTTTGATTGAAATAAGCTTGCAATATTTTTACTATCTTTTTTCACACTCTCACCCGGAGTATGGACTGTATATTAATTTTGTCATATCGTTTGTAACACCTCGAAATATAAATTTTAGACCTTACGAAGAATATATATATTTTTGATCATCATAAAGTTCTATGTCGATTTAGCGATGTCCGTCCGTTTGAGGAAGTAATTCTAGCATGCGAACAAAATGGTGTAAGCCGATCAATTTTACTCAGATGTAGTTTCTGTCTCCTGGACTTTTGCTATCGAAAATGGGTGAGATAGGTCCACGTTTTGGTATAAACCCCACATCACTGTACCGCCAGTTTTAAGGTGATTGGCTATTTTAGCCACAATTTTAACCCGAGTTTGCATACTACTGTCTATATAGGTCCAAGTTTTGGTATACTAGTTCCAATATAACTATACCTCACAATATTCGGTATTTTAAGGATTTTAGCTACATTTTCAACACAATTATATCAAACTTAGTGTTTAGAGTTCGTAATGGGTACCACCTTCTCTGGTAGATAAATGTCTGTAGAGGTCTACTGTTTCGTATAGGCCTTATAAGACTGTATCTCCATATATTCGGTATTTAGTACTTTTTACCAGAATTATTACAAATTCGGAATTTGAATTTCGCAATAAGTACTGCTTTCTATAAGAGATAATTGCTGATATAAATTCACCTTTTCGTTTAGCCAATATTAGATATTCCCAACATTCATAAACGGCACCACCTTCTCTGGTAAATAATTGGCAGTTTTCATATGATATTGACATATTCAATTACATTTTTTTACATTTTGCAATTTCATTCCAATTGGTGGAGGGTATTAAAATGCCGAAATTAGCTGTTTTTTATTTGTTTAAATATATGAGCAGTAGTTTTGGCTCAATGGTTCAATATATATAAGAGGTATATCCAACCCTGGTTCGATTTTCTCGAAATTAGACGGAGGCATTTGCCCCTCCGGACAATAGAGTGCATGATATACATAGGAGCTATATCTAAATTTAGACCAATTATCACGAATTTCATTAGGGTTTTGCGGAAAATTGTATCTCAAACGGACAATAAATGCAACCTACACTTTGTTTTCAAAAATACATGGACAAAGGGATATGCACAAAACCGACTCAATATGTGATTCTTTGGAAGAAAATATGGGTCTATTTCGATTCCATCTGCATGTTACAAACATATGCATAAAGACATAATACCATGTATTATAAAATGTCGTACGGTATAAAAAATTTAATGTTCTCTGAACAGTACAAAAAATATAGGGATCTTTTCTTAATCCCATGTATCCATGCAACATATTCTAGCCATCGAATCGTTCTGGTGATTTCTTCACTAAAATCGATTTTATTAGAAAAAGCTTGATCGACCATATTTCCCAAAACGCCGAAATGCCGATTGCAAAAATTTACGAAATGACAAGAATCATTAACAATAATTGTTTCGCATCCGCCCTAATGTACCAGCGTGAAGCTTGATTGATACTTTATAATGTCCCGTGCGTTTGCATGTATGTAAGTTATTCAATTTTCATCCTCTTACAACACCCTCGAACACACGTTACCAAAAATAAAAAAAACAACAACATTTTCTATAATGATGTTTGAACACACCACAATGTTTGAATGCGTTTTTGTTTTATTATCGCTTATTATAAGCAGCTTATTGGGGCTTTTTTCACTTAAATACGGAACACTAAAGTGTATCTGGTATTATTTTTAATTTAATTGAAGAGGTATGTAGTGCAGTACACATAAAGCTAGTACGAAGGTTAGCCTCATGCCATAATGTGGTATTAACGATGGTTAGAATATTTCGCATCGAAATGAGATATTTTTAAATCAGTTTATATTGTGTTGCTCTAATTCGCCAAATCCCGAAAGTTGCATAATTTAGTGGGTGTTTGTGCTTGAAAGGGTTTTGAATTTTTAAATTTGTGCGTAGATATTAAAATTGTTTCAAATGACCAATTCATAGATTTAAAAAAATCTTATTGATAATATAAGATAATTAGTCCATATCCCTCAATCAGTCCATAACTGAGATTTTAACAAAAATTGTTGATGTGCCGGCAAAAAAATCACTTTTTAAAATAAAAGTTTAAAAGAAATTTTAAATTTCCCATATATCAAATAATTGTCGAAAATTCAAATTCATTCGGATTCATGAATTGACGGTATTATTAACATTAAATTAAATTGAACAAAAAGTATTGAAAAATTATAATGTTATCAGTAACAGATATGATTTAAATAACAATTCTTTATAACATTCACTATACATACATTAGAAATATTAAAATCTCACATGTTTGTAATAAATGCCTAGTTAAACAAAAAAATATAAAAGTATAAAAAAACATAAAACTAATTGTCACATACATTTAACTCAACTGTTAGCCATGATTAACAAGTTTGTTGACTTTTAACCAAGCAAAAAAATCCTTGTACCAATATTAACTTTTTATTTTTTTATTCGCGAATTTGTTGTGCGACGAGACAGAGAGCAACAATTTTATATTTTGAACATTTCCTCTCAATGTTGTTGTTTTCATAGATTTACCTTTCTAACGAAAAACATAAATTGGGTAGAACGAACTGAACAGCGGCTGCGGAAGCGGAAGGAAAGAGTTGGGGGATGTTTGCATAAAAAACGTAGCTCTAATGAATTTTATATCTACACTGATGGGATTTGCTGAATTTTTAATGGTTATAAATTTAGCTACCATATGGCATTTTTTATGGTCCCTATCTTACATGCAGCTACCTGGGTAGGTGTAGTGTAACGACCAGAATGTCAGTCTGTCGATGTTTGTGTGGGGACTATGGGTTTGCTTTTTGCCATACAAACCCTGGCCACACAAACACATCCGTTTTTATTTGAATTTGGTTTGCTAACTGGGTTAACTAGAGCCTCGAATACAGTTTTTAGTCAACACTCGACCAGCAAGCCACTCAAAAGGCTACTGACTGAATTCTACTAAAAGCCAAATATGGCTTGTGTTTGTTGTATTTCGTGAAGAGGGTCGATGGTTAGCAGGAGTGTTTATTCATATCTGTACAAAGGAGCATGGCTTCATCTGAAAGCATCGTCCACCACAGAGGACTTCCTTGTTTTTTAATTTTTTTTTTGCGTACTCAGGTAACTCTCATTGAAAGTACGTTGGAAACATATTCAACATAAACTTTTGGTATTTCAAAACAAACTATAACATTTTCAAACTCCCATAGATTAGGTTGTACGTATACGAAGTGAACATTTTAGAAATAGTTTTCTTCACATTAATGGCTAAAGTAAAGATAGCAAATTTAATGAAAAAATATATGGGTTTTTCATAGCGGGGCTTTTTAAATGATTTATATATTTCTCTTTCAAGACAAGCTAGACAATCAGAAAAATCAGTGGGACACTATCAAACACTATGCAATGCGAAAAAATATCAGAACAAACCATATTCGACACTTGTTAACAGAAAAGATATTGTCATTCAGCTCGTCCCAAAAAAAAAAATCTATATATATAAATGTAAGTTGTGTTAGTTACTACGCTTATAACTTAAGAACCGCTGGACTGATTTTAACGATTCACACAAATTCTCAATTGTCTCCTCTCCGAAAAGGATAATATCCAAAAAAATCGCGTAAAAATGTGATATATTAACATTTTCATTTTGACTTTTGAAATGTACAATAGTAATGTTTTATTTTGCATGATTTTTTCCATTTTGACTTAATTTTTTCTGATGTACATTTGTAGTGTTTTTTATATTTTATTTTTAAATTCGAATATTAATACGAATTATGTGGTGGCGAAACTGAATAGAAGATATCGAAATATTTTAATGCGGTCACACCAAATTTAAAAGATAATTACTTTTTCAAAATCGCTAAAAACCATGAAAAAGATATCTCATTGCAAAAATACTCAAATCGGGAAAAATCGAAAAAAAAATTCAATGGAATCGAATTTTAAAATAATAGTACATTCTATTGACAAACTTTGCAAGGATCTTTAAACATTTGCTGTAAAAAATCAGCGAACAAGGTGAAGATTTTTTCAATTTGTTATTCTTCTTTTGTAAATTTTTTCTCAATTTGTATTATCATATTGAATTCCGTGGATTTTTTGTGAACAAAATAAAGAATAATTTTTCACTATATACAATTTTTCAC